TGCGCGGGCAAAAAGTGTACGAAGGGAATTCAGTCACAAGTGTTACTACATTTTTCAAAAATTGTCACACCTGGACGGTCTGTCTAGACATATTTTTATGTCAATGGGCCCAGCCTCATATTGAAATTGAAATTGAAGTACGAATTGGAAAGAATTGACGTTACTAGTGTTGGTGTTTCGAGTGCCTGACGTATTTTGCCTTCCATGCCATTGTTATATACCCCCTTTACTCTTTGTATTTGTAGTTCTATTCAACTATTCACATGTTTCCAAGTGAGTCTAAGAGGTCTTATAGAACGCGTATTGCACGACAACTTAAGAACAGGCATCAAGAAATGGAGAATTTAAGGGAAAATTCTGACTTTATTTCGTGCGATTCGTCTTTCCCAACGTCCGAATCAGGATCACAGTTTAATATGTACAACAATGAAAGAAAATTGTAAAATTCCACAGATTTCTCCAGGGACCTAAGTGTGCAGGGCTCCCTTATGTGCAGTTTAAGCACGGTTAATACGTCGGTGGATAAGAATAAGCAGACCGCAAGACGTAGAGTTAGGTCTTAGACTTTCCACTCACGTACGCTACACTTTGCCTGAAGAGCTTGCTACATTTATTTACAGTGTTGCTAGAAGACATGCTTTTAGATCCAAAAACACTGTTAGGGACAACGACCACATGCAGCGTAAGCCCAATATCAAAATGCAAGTAAGTTCACCTTGCCACTGGACGTCAGATTAATAATACCACCTCACTTAATCGGACTCGTTTTAAGTACGCAACACAGGTAGTAGTGCATGTTGGTGTGGATGGCATAAAAATTTGCAAGGTGGACTGAAAAAAGACTTGGAAAAGTTTATAGGACTTTTAGAAAATGAGCACTGCACTTTACTTAAAGTGGTGAAATAGAATACAGTGTCCGTTTCCAGATGCGATGCACCGATGCTTAAGGTGTATTATTCGCACTAGGTCTTGTAGGATCTATTGCCTATGTAGTCTCTTTGTGTTGATACTCTTTCCTAACTGCCGCGGATGCGCTTTCTACGCTAGGTATAATGATGGGCCTTTCTCCTGAACCCTTTTATCAGATAATCCATAGACAGGAGGTCCGTAGCCTACACGGCTTACTATGAACGCGTTTAAAGTTAGATCCGACCCCTATTACCAAATTATGTCTGAATATAGACAAACAATAGCGCACAACGAACCCCAATACGATTACCGATGACGTCGGCTTCCGCGAAATCCTAAATATAAATCCACGAAATATGAGCTGACCGTTCGCGCTTCGACCAACGCCGTACATCACGCCTGTTATAGTGGTGCTATGTTCACCTCCCTTTTAGGAAAAAAGAGTCCTCCACTAGTGACCAGAGTACTAGATCAACTCTGCCAACCTCCCGCATATCCGTGCATATCCGTGCATTGCGTAGGCTGCAGCGGTAATGAAAAAGAAGCACTGAACGAAGAGCTCCATCTCAAAGCCACAGACCGATCATGGTCTGACCACCACGACTACCCGTTAGCCTAGCTACTGGCTATCCAGCACGTCCACAGGTGGCAGATAGTGGAACGACTTTCAGTGAAGGTTAGCTGTGAAAAATAAGTTTACTCTCGGGTCTGACGAATAAGCAGTCGCGGACCAGCAGTGGTAGTGCTACCAAGGCGGGGCGGGCTGAGGTCTGGAAAGCCGAAAGCCCATAAAGTGTCGCAAAGCCTGACAACGGCGCTGTGACATGGCGAGCGTGAACTGTCACTAAGTAAGTTCGCTTGCAACCGCTGCCTTGTGGTTAGGCTATTGAGCCAAAACGGTAGAAGAGACAACCTCGAACAAACTATTAGTGCAGCTGTTGTGGACCCGCAAAGACACCTCATGCACACCGAAAATATCATAGAAAACGATGACCCTCTGACGGTGCAAGTTAAGTGTCAGCTTGACACGTAAATTTAACTTCCATAGATACTGTTGAAGGCAAAGGCAGATAGATTACGGCCGTCGAAGAAAATTACAGGCAAGTATTCAATAGGATGATGAATATTCCGAACGACACTATGAGCATCATAACAAACGACACGTTTCCATTTCCTATCAGGCCAAAGATAAACTTTAATCAGTTTGACGCTATATAGAACTGCCCATCTCTCAATTTCTGCGTTTCACTTGTTCCATTCGATATTTTCATCCACTTGTTAAATAAAATTTTATACCAATTCCGATGTACCTACCTTTTATACTCCAACTTACATTCAGTTTGATCACAAGTGTGTTCTGATAATTAATTCTTTTCTAACAGATTCAGAGGAATTAACACTATCAAAAGCTATTATCAGCCAAGGAGGATATCGCGCCACAAGCCGTCTCCTCTTTTCGGATATTATATCTACAAACCCACTGCGGGTACGCGTCGTATACGTGGTTGCTTTGGCTCTTTGGTACAACTTCGATTTCTTCGTTTATCCGGATGTCCGTTCTACTCGAGACCTCACTCGGGACAATTATTATTGACCTTTATACAACCGAAAGGCCACGTTGTTCGCTCAACTTTCTGAAGCTCTGCAAAATCCACTATTTTAACGGCTGTCTGTTTCATAATGTTCAGAAAAATTTGGTTGCCCAAACAGGTGACCCCTCTGGAACAGGCAAAGGAGGAAGTTCCATATTCGAAAAGCTCTACGGAGAACAAGCTCAGTACTTTGAACGCGAACTTAAACCGAAAATCCATCACAAAAAACGGGGAACTGTTGCTATGGTTAATAATGGTCATGGCCAACATGGTTCACAATTCTTCATTACTCTAGCGGATAACTTGGACTATCTGAATCGTGTGCACACTGTGTTTGGCACCGTAAGTCACTGATTATTGCACTGGCTTTTGTTTTTTACCCCTATGTCCGTACCTCTCTCTGCTCCTGCACTTCGACCATGTCAACTTACCTGAAACTTAAATTTCAGGGCGTAACCTTTTAGAAGGCAATTTTCTGTTGTTTATACAGTCGCTCGCACACAATTGTGCCTTACCAGCTGGGTGCTTATTTTTACCACAGCACTAAATTTGAATGAATGGGTCCCCTTGGGCCTTAAATATGCAATTTATTTATTATTATGAAATTTCTAACCACCTGTTTATATATTTATTTATTGCCAGTTTACAGGCAATTTTCAAAATTGGGTTAACTAATAAAGCACCTCTTGGGCACCTTCCAAAACCTCGAAGACAGGAAAAAAGCTAAAACAAACTCCCTCTTTTGCAGTCAGTATTGGTTTTTTCAGTTTTGTGCTTGGTCAATAGTGGACGAAATAGGGAGTTTGTTTTAAGTGAAAAAAAGCTGACTTCAAAGGTTCGAGACTAAAGAAAGATATGTACAGTTATATATCAAGTTGACAGTCAAGCAGAAAAAGACTGCAGCTCTCTGAGTGACTTTAGTTCAGGACGGGCAGGGTTGACACAGAAACACAGTGTTCTCAGTCTTCCTTGAGTGTAATGGTTTCGAGATTCTGCGCCAGCGGAATGTTTGTCGCTGAATAGTTGCTCTCTGTCGGCTGAAGAAGTAGCTGATTGCGAGCCACAGCTTCAGCACCATTATCATCAGCATGAGGACTGACAGGGCTCAAAGTCCGTTCAGCAGCATTATCTTCAGCATGAAGCCTGGCAGGGTTCAAAGTCCACGAGCCAGAGTGAAAGAGAGATTCCACCGAGTCAGCGCCCAAAATTCGTGAAAGTTTGGAAAGAGAGATTCCACCGAGTCAGCACCCAAAATTCGTGAAAGTTGTCCTAAAAGAGAGATTCCACCGAGTCAGCACCCAAAATTCGTGAAAGTTGTTCTGAATATAAAAAAAACTAGTGGTAGCTCTCTTAAACATAGGATAGCTTTGCTGTGTTTTGATACTTCTTTAGGCAGTTGTACTTATTTTATTGCTGACAGTAAGTCCGTTTGTTTTTGACAAATTGAGTAATGAACTCATGCATTTGTCACAGAAATTAGTCGTCAGCACACCTCAATTATTCGGATTATCAGGCTGGGTCCAATGTAGAGGTGACATGTATCTTTACAGAATGGACGAGTAATATTACTTTGATTATTTGAGAAACCGGACACGAAACGCTCGTCCACGTTAGCCTTGTAGTTGGCTGTCCGGTTTAAATGTTTATAATCGATTCGCCGTATTAGTGCTACTCAGTTTCGAGGACCGGCTGTTGTGTGTTTGGCTATGCATTCATCGGATTAAGTCATCGTGCAGTGAATGTCCCGTGTGGAGGACTAATTATAGCTACGGAAAGGAGTAAAGACGAGAACGCCTAAGAAGGTGTCATGGAAAAGTGCACTTTCCTACACTTGCTCGCACTTAGCAGTCTCCTAGAGATAAAACGCATAATTTGTTCAAACAACTAGTGCCTAAAGTGGTCTAACGTTTAGCTCTCTTTGTGTCAATGTCCTTACTTTGCATTCCTCTTTATGACATTTTGACTACAGGTTGCTGAAGGAGAGGAGTGGCTCTCGAAAATTAACGATGTATACTGCGACAAGGAATCGCGTCCATATCGTAATGTCCGGATTCATCACACAGTTGTCTTGGATGACCCCTTTCTCGACC